AAGTTTTTATAAAACCCTATAGACTGCACAACGTCACACCCCCATCCCTAGGACAGTGCATCTCACGCCTTCCAATCGGTGGAGTCTCCTGCTCCCTTCCCTCAGATGTATCCTCTAGTTCACTCTCTGCATTAGTACCTGTGGAGAGAACATGGAAATGGTTGCTCACCTGTATCTGCATTGCTGGTACATGGACACTCCTCTTTCTCCTTCTGGAGGTCACATGCTGCCAAATTTCTTCACCGTCCTTCTGTGAGTTTTCACATAGTTTGGCATGGTGGGGCAGTGGTAACACTCTTAGTCTGAGAAGCTCTCTGGGCCCCTCCATCCTGCACAGGGCCCAGGGGTCTGAGCGAGCGGTGGGATTTGGGGACTGAATCGGTGTGGCTTGGCAAGGTCACAGGAATCGCTGGGGCTCAGTGCTCTCTGCCTGCCCACTCCTTGCTGCTGCTGCAGCCATGAGGGTTTCTCTGCCCTGGGGGCAGCAGCAGCTGCTTCCTCTGGAGAAGAAGGGGAAGTCCCTTGCTTGCAGCCCTCTTGCACCCCAGGGAGAGAAGAGGAGACTCCTGCAGCCTCCCCTCCCTGGGGCAGGTGAGGCCTAGCCATGAGTCAGGACCCTGTTTCCTGCTGGTCCTCCAGCATCAGGGAGGGGGGCATGGTGGGGTCTGGCAGGCATCCCACTCTGGAGGAAATGCCGAGCTCCCTGCACTGACACCTCTTAGCCACAGGGAGGAATTGCAGGCAGCTAAGCTGCACCTATGGCTGCTTTTCCTCACCCCCCTGCTGGCAGGGGAGACGGGCTGGGCATGGGGGGCAGCCCCAGGCTTCCTCCAGCCCTCTGAGAGGCGCAGGGCGTAGACTCCTGCCTCCCCACATGGGTGCCCTCAGGTGGGCCGTGGCAGAGTCCAGGCAGGAGGGATGTCCGAGTGCTGGCATGGCAGGCATGGCCGTGCTCCTAGGCAGCTCTGCCCACCGCACCCAGCCCTGCCTGACCCCTCTCACCTGCCTTTCTTCTTTCCCTGTGTGGCACTGGCACCGCAAGACGGAATGAGCCCTGCCCGTGTGCCCTGGAGACCTGGCACCGTGGCCACCAGAGTTGGTGAGCTGCTGCGCCGGGGGCATAGCCAGGCGGCGATCTCCCCGGGGTTGGGGCTGGAGATGTGGAACAAGGTGCTGCAGTGTGTGCAGTAGAGCCCAGCACCCATCTGGTCCGGGGCCCACTCCCCTGGAGCTTAGTTCTTCCTGGGCACTGGGCGGCTCCTGGCCGGGGTGAGTGGAGGGCTGTGCACCAGCTTCTGCCTTACTCCCCCTTTCTCCAGCTCCGCTGCACAGTAACTACCATGAGGACGGGCCGCCCTCGTACTACGACAACCAGGACTTCCCCATCACCCACTGGGACGACAAGAGCATCCGCCAGGCCTTCATCCGCAAGGTGAGGAGCTCCCAGTGCACTGGGGCAGGGGCCAAGGGCCTGTGATCCCCCACTTGAGCAGGTGGGAGAGGCCCCCTCTGCATGGGGGCAGGGGAAGTGTCCCCACGGTGCGGGAGGGGATCTGTCCTCACCCATGTCATGTGCTCCTCCAGGTGTTCCTGGTGCTGACCCTCCAGCTGAGCGTGACCTTGGCCTTCGTGGCCATCTTCACCTTTGTGAAGGGCATGAAGGGCTTTGTGAGGCGCAATGTCTGGATGTACTATGTCTCCTACGCCATCTTCTTCATCTCGCTGATCGTGCTGAGTTGCTGTGGGGAGTTCCGCCGCAAGTACCCCTGGAACCTGATCGCCCTGGTGAGCTCCAGCTTGCGGGCCCAGCACGGCTCTCGCAGTCCCACCGCTGAAATCCCCTTGCTTGGGGTGACAGTCTGGGGCTGGGAGGGGCCCTCTGCTCTGGGGCAGGCTGGAGTTGCTCTTCCCACCCACCGTGCTGTTCCCTATGCTGCACCAGCCCTGGGGAGAGGTGTGAGAACTGACCGCATCCCCATACGACTCCCCTCCCTGCATGGCATGCCCAGGCTCAGCGCTGCTGTGTGCTGAGCACTCCGGGGAGTTTGCCCGACCCAGCCGCTTATGCGGGGTGCTTGTACCCCTCACCCCATGGTCTCGCTCCTCCTTCCAGGCGTGCTGAGCTGTGACAGGCGATGCAGAGGGTGTTGAGCCCAGGGAGGCACTAGGAGGTGCTGTGTTGCTGGCTCTGGGCAGAGTCCCATAGGAGGCGCTCTCTTGAGTCAGCACTGACCCCAAGCGCAGCCCCCTAGGTCCTGAGCACAGAGCCAATAACCGCCCCATGGCCACAGTCCCTGGTGGATCTGGGGTGACCGATTTCATTACATTTGGGGCTAGTCGTCCTTTCTTGTCCCTTTGGCTGGGCGTGAGCTGGCTACATTGGGGCAGGGGGTGGAGACCCCTTCTCGCTGCCCAGCCTGTCAGGCTGATGGCCGTGTGCTACGCTTTTAGCAGGTGGCCGTTCCCTCCGGCGAAGGCTGTAAACCGTTTATTCCCTGTTCTCCCCAGCTGGGCACTCTCCAGGCCCGGCCCCTCGTGGGGTTGTAGGTTTCCAGCTTGGGGCTCCCCGGTGTGTGCTGCAAAAGGGTCCCCAGGGGAATGAGGCTGTTGTGGTGCTAAGGGTTTGCAGCTCGGGGCTGGACGGTGGTGTCCAGACCGCTGCCCTAGCAGCCTGGGGCGCCCCTCACCCGGGTGCCTGCCCAGCCCTGGCTCTGCTCAGCCTGCCCATCCCCCTCTAACGCACATTCCCTCTCTCCAGTCCATCCTGACTCTCAGCCTCTCCTACATGGTGGGGATGATCGCCAGCTTCTATCAAACGGACGCCGTCATGATGGCCGTGGGCATCACGGCCATCGTCTGCTTCACCGTTGTCCTCTTCTCCCTGCAGGTGAGGGGGGCTGGGCTCGATCCCCAGGCTGGGCTGGGAGCTGGCTGCTGGGCCACCCAGCGGGATCCCTTCATTAGAAGCCCTGTAGCTGTCTGGGGAATGAGGGGTTGGCTGGCTGGCATCTGCCTTCTCCAACTGTGAGAGTGGGGAGCCAGAAGCCCCAGGCTGCCCCCTCCTGGGGACATGGCTAGCTCTCTGCCTGGGGCCCTGGCACCTTGGGTCACTGCGCAGCTCCTGTCTGAGCCTTAGCCAGACACCTGCCATTGGGAGTCGGTCCCTGCTGCAGTAGCTTCCCTGGCACCGTCAGGCCTTCATGCTGCTAGGGGTTGATGCTCTGGAGTCCTTGGGCAGGGGCAGCATCCGCCCGCTGACGTCTCCACCTCCTCAGGCTGCATTGGGTGTGGCTCGTGCTTAGTGGGAACGGCAGCGTCCTGGGAGCTGGCCATGGGGCTCTGGCAGAATCCAGGTGCAGCCTGTGAGCTGCCTGTGCTGGTTCTTGGGGAATTCGCCCTCGGACCCAGCTGTGCCGTAGCCTTGCCTGGGGCTGGGCAGCCGGCACTGCAATAGCTGGCCCGTGTCTGGGCTCCCGGGGGAGCTGCCTGGAAAGCAGAAAGACCTGGGCCCAAAGCCGGGCTCTTTTCAGCTCCTCCAGCAGGCGGAGCAGTGCTGGGGCCAGGCGCAGGCCCAGCCACGAGGCCGGGGCTGGAGACCCCGCGTGTGATGCCCCAATGGCCTGTCGTCCTCTCCTGCAGACCAAGTATGACTTCACCTCCTGCCGGGGCGTGCTGATCGTCTGCCTGGTGGTGCTGATCCTCTTCTCCATCCTGTGTATCTTCATCCGGAACCGCATCATGGACATCGTCTACGCCTCGCTGGGAGCCCTGCTCTTCACCTGCGTGAGTATCTGCCGGGGTGGGGACAGCGCCACCACACTGTCTCCTGCAGATCCCTGCCCAGCGTGGGGAAGGCCTGGGCTGGAGCTGAGTGGGCAGGAGCCAGGGCGCTCGGCCTAGGGGCTCGCCAGGGCCTCAAAGGGGACAGCTCTGCCTGATGAACCCTTCCCCATGGGGATGTGGCTGCCTCACCACGGCTGAGAAACCAAACCCGCAGGGTCACGGGTGCTGCGCCCCTCGGGCCTTAAAATCTACCCTCTCCGGCTGCTGGTCCGCTATGGCCACCATGTCCCTGGGCCCCTGGGGGAGCGCGTTGCTGGAGGGTAGGCCTGGAGCTGTGCGGTGGGGACAGCTCTAGAACTGGTGGTAGCTTCAGACCCTCAGCGTGGCACCACCTGGGAGTTTGTTCCTGCTCCTGCCTAGTCCCAGCTGGAACCCGGCTCCCCCTGCCCGGGGTGGGGGCATGAACACCAGGTCCCAGTGGCAGCTGTGGGACCCGGCATCACGCCTGGATAAACGCCCCTGTTCCACCCACCAGCAGCAGTGGCCAAGTCCGAGCTCTCGCTCACAAGCCAGAGAGCCCTGTCTGGGCCGGCACTGGGATCCGCGCCCGTATCTAGAGTGGGAGGGGCTCAGGGAGGGAGGGAGGGCTTGGCAGGGCGGTGTCAGTGATGGTCGGGGACAGCCCCTCCCCTTGGTTCACCCAACCCCCAGTGCTCTGCCCCTGGGCATGGCACTGTCCATGCCCCTCCATCCTGGCAGCACTTCCAGAGCACCCCCGGGTGCAGGGGGGAAGGAGGCACAGCCTGGCACAGCCCATCCCTCCTGCCATGCCATGCGCAGCGCTGTGAGCCCTGGGTGTGCAGGACAGGGGGCTGCATTCTCCCCCTCAGCTCATGGCCTGGAGCTGGGTACCTGGGCATGGTCCATGCTGAAAGCGTGCTGCTGCAGCAGGCCTGGTGCCAGGTCTGGCACCCTGTGTCACGGAGTCCCCGGGCGATGCTCTGGAACTGCTCCCCACAAAGCCAGTCAGGACTCTGGGGAGCCTCCTCTCCCTCGGAGCAGACTGTCTTCAGGGCAAGAAGCTCACACGGCTTCACCTCCTGGGTCTCTCCTGGGAGCATTCAGCATATGCCCCTCCGTGCGCTTCCCACAGCGAGTCCGCCCAGGCAGGGTCCTGGGGAAGCCAGAGGGTTCTGTACCCCCACTTCGCAGTCAGACGTGACTCTCAGCCAGCCAGTAACACAGAGGTTTATTAGATGACAGGAACACGTCTAAAACAGAGTTTGTAGGTCCAGAGAACAGGACCCCTCAGCCGGGTCCATTCTGGGGCCCAGCAAGCCAGACACCCCCATCTCCCTCACTCCCCATCCCCAGCCAGCTCCAAACTGCAACCCCCTCCAGCCCCTCCTTTCTGGCCTTTGTCTCTTTCCCAGGTCAGGAGGTCACCTGATCTTTGTTCACCTTTAGCTATTCCCTTGCAGGAGGGAAGGGCCCTGGCCATTTGTTGCTAGGAGACAGATTGTCGGCCAATTATGCACACTGGAGACTTAAGAAATACATAGGTTTCAGAGTAGCAGCCGTGTTAGTCTGTATCCGCAAAAAAAAGAACAGGAGGACTTGTGGCACCTTAGAGACTAACAAATTTATTAGAGCATAAGCTTTCGTGGACTACAGCCCACTTCTTCGGATGCAAATGTATTTCCTGGCTCCGTCTGAGTTAGGAGCCGGAAATGCATTCTTGGAGAGG